TTCAAGAGTACTGTTGTGTGCAATAGATTCTGTTTTTGCATTGAGTTGTGTTACAGTAGTGTACATGCAGAATTTACTATAGATTTATACTCTTCATATGAAACTCACAAATCTAAATGCCTAATCCTCTGCAGAGATCTAAGAAGATCCATTACTGTAAAGTTTCTAAAAATACGCTTTGGCAGTTATGAAACAAAGAACCTTCTCACAAATTGAGCATTGTGTTTTCAATTGTTTTGCTGTAGTGTGTAATGATGTGTATAGTGTTTACATTTTTGAAAGCTTCGAGCTACTCTTTTGGTGTGAAAGTTTGAGTTTTGAAGTGAGAAGGTGTGGTTGTTTATGTAGCTTTAGAAAAGGGTGTTGTGTTTAGACATTGGGGAACATGGAGGAAACGTTTGTGAAATGTGTTTTAGCATTTGAGAAAAACTGTAATGTCTTTGGTTTCATTGTGTGTCAGACAATGAGAAATGCATGAGGAAGCTAAACATATACGAAGTTTTCATTACAGTGGGATTCATCTGATGTTTAATGTATTCATTGTTGATCATATTTTACAGTACTTTTATCTGGATAAATAATCATATATAGTACCGTTCAAACATTTGGAGTTAGTACGATTTTTATTTTATTTAAAGAAATTAATATTTTCAATCAGAAATGATGCATTAAACTGATCAAAAGTGACAGTAAAGACATTTATAATGTTACAAAAGTTAACTTTTGAACTTATCAAAGAAAATGAATGTTTCACCAAAATGTTTTCAACACTGATGATTAATAATTGGACAGCAATAATAATTGAGCATCAAATCATCATATTAGAGTGATTTCTGAAGGATCATGTGACACTGAAGACTGGAGTAATGATGCTGAAAATTCAGCTTTGATCACAGGAATAAATTACAGTTTAACATATATTGACAGAAAACATTGTAATAATATTTCAGTTACTGTATTACTGTTAGTAGTACTATCATAGTATTGCACATACACAAGTCAAATTGAGCATTGTTCACACATTAGTCTTTATTTGTTTGGTAAATTAATGTAATGCACTTCATTTTTGTCAATAACAACACTGAAAAAGTTTGGCGGATACTTGATCACGTTTCTCTACAATTGTCAATAATTACAGGTCATGAACATGATGCTTAATCCATAAACCAGCCAAACGATATAAAGCTAACACAAGTCCATCATTTTTAAAATATAAATCAACCCCCAAACTGGACAACAGAGGGAGACATTCTGCAACAAAAACGATTGCAAAAAAAAAGAGAAAAAGCTTATTTTGTCATCTTTATACATCAAGATTTTCTCATGTGTCAATACAGTATTTAGTCAGTTGTGTTAAAGGCTAAATTTAACTCAGAATGCACAAGATTAAACATAAGATTTATTTCTCTGTAATATTTTTGTACACTGGTATAGGAATTATTTTACATGATAATGTCCCACTAAAAGTCATTACCAGCCACTTTTAAACACAAATCCATACATACAACTTTACATAATTAATTATAATATATATAACATAATATTACAGGTTGGTCATGTGCATTATTTTGCATTTTTAAAAGGCAAGACTTTACATTATGGTTTAATTTAGTTAACTAAAAGCATAAACATAAACCAACAATGAACAATAGTTCTACAGCCTTTATTAATATAGTTAATATTAATTTGATCATTTAGTAATGTTTATGCAATGTGAACACATACACAAACAAACAATATAAAATTCTATTTACTAACCAATGTTAATAAACATATTGCTCATTGTTAGTTCGTTAATGCATTAAATAATGTTAACAAATGAGACCTTATTGTAAAGTGTTACCGTTAAAATGTTCTCTACTTAAAGAACGGCTGTGCCTTTGGAAAATTTAATTAAAACACAATACCGCTTTCTCCACAAATGACCTGACAACATGTTTGAAGAATCATTTAATTAAACCTGAGGATTATTCCGCTTGAGTGAATTGTAATAAATTAGATCTATAAAATAAATAACTGGGCAAAAATGACATCCAGCCACCAGGGAATGACAGGCACAGCCTGACTGAGTTTATATGATCCCACACACACACACACACACACATGCACGGCAAGAGAAAAGCAATACACAACCTTCAATCGAAGCAACTAATGAAGAGTATGAGTCATTTTTTCAAGGCTTGTTCACACAGCTGTATGGTAGGTGAAGAATGACATCTTTGAAATGTGTTATTAATATAATGCTATATTGCACCCACACACCATCAGACTGGGAACTATAGACAACTTAACATGAGATACAACACTAAAGCACTACACACTAACACACCCTATGGGCCAAAGGCACATTGAACACATTGTACTGATGGACGAATACTGCGATAACCACTTTGCTGTCATCAATACTTCCCCAGGTTTCAAAATATGTTTGTTTGGGTCCTAAAATGCTCCGAACATGCACTCGTTCACCTCAGACGTGCGTCACTCTGTAAGTCGGACAGAGTAAGTTCAGTCTGAACTGTTTTAGCCCTTCGCAAATGTTAAGATTCTCTAAACCCCTCAAATAGGCGAGAGCTGAAGACGTCCAGCTCAATATTTACACAGTATACAGCTCTTTAAGCGACAGGGATTTAAAATAAGTGTTTTATTTACAAGTGTAGGCCTATACACTCTAAAAAATGCTGAAATTTGGGTCAAATATGGACAAACCCAAATGTTGGGTTAAAAATGTAATAAAAAAAATTACAGTTCAAAGTGAAAGTTGAAGTTGGGTTAAAATTGTAAATTACATTTTTAACCCAACATTTGGGTTTGTCCATATTTGACCCAAATTTGGGTTAAAACAACCCAGCGTTATTAAGAGTGTAACAGTAGATGAATTGATTGTACATTCAGGGTTTATTGTTAAAGCTCTATGAAGGAATGAATGCACATGGTTACGCTTCTCTCATCCACGTGTGTCTTTTTGAGTGATTATTTAAGGCACTTGCAACGTCGTTTTATAATGAATAGTTGTTCATGTCCTCCGAGCGATGCAAATGTAAAGCAGCTGCTATTGAACAGTCCGTGTTGATGCTTCAACATTAGTGTGGCGGGATGCATTCATCACAATGATGGATAAAGGCTGAATATCTTACGTTTTATAATGAGGTATATTCAACATGTTGGCAAAAAGGATTGTGCACTTGTTTGAATACTTTTCTCAGAATAATGAATAATACAGTTGAATGCAGTGTATATGCCCTCCTTGCATTCTCTGTCATCATTGTCTGTCTGAGGCGAGTGAGCAAAAGGTTTGTATAGCAACTGGAACGAGAAGGATTGATTTGCATCTCATTTGCCAGCTGATGAATGTTAATTAAGTCCAACCAATGGTTATTGGTTAGGCCTACTAATCCAAACATTGAAAAATTGAGTGTTCAACAGAGGGGTACAACACCCTAGGACTTTTGTCGCACTTAAACAATTAATTTTTTTAATTGACTGGAGGAGTTTTGTGGTTGAAATTTCAAAAAAATTACAAATCTTTCCCTCGTGGGTCAATTTGACCCCCATAGGAATGAATGTAATGCGAGGAATGCTTCATAGAAAAACCTAAAAATGCTCAAAACAAACTAAAATTCTAAATATTTTGATAATGTCTACATGTGTATCTGAATGCATACTGAAAGAAATGACTTTAGGACCCAGCGGAACAGCTCCATATAGAGCCGTCTAGTGGCAAGAGTCATGAAATATCATGTTATACTATGATTTTCACGAGAGGTCCGCAAAGAGAGTAAGATATTTTGAGCTGAATTAAAAGGGTTATGCATGAAATTGTGAGTTATTTTGAATTTAAGTTGAAGGAATGTGAGGAATGTGCTTAAATTACTAATTACTTATTATTTATTGATCAAATCTAGTCATTTAAAGGTAAATAAAATTAAAAATAACAAAAAATCTCCAAAAAAATATTATCACAATAAAATAAAATAAGCTTTCTGGACCCCCTCTTTCTTAGGACTTCAGGTCATTTTGACCCGCGAGGGAAAGATATGTTACAAAGTGCGATTAATAAAAAGTTCTAAAACTTTCTCCAGGTCAGATAATAATTACTAAAGCTCTGTTTCAAAACCTAGAGAGTGTTTAAAGCCACAACTCACAACTGGTTCCTATAGAATTCAGCAACAACACACAGCACATACAAATATGCATCAAATAGTCCATTTTAACTGTGCAATTGGATTGCTTTTTCCATGAAGGATACACGTGATGCTCTATAAACGCTGTGAAAAGGAGGTTTCTTGACATAATGTTGCTGCCTACACCTTCTGGACCAGCATCCGATGCCTGAAACTGTCCATTAGCTCATTAAGTTTAGCAACAGAGCTCATCTTTCTCCTCCCCCTCTCCACTGAACATTGTGTACATTTCCAGTACCAAAATAAAACTCTACTGGGAACCAGAGGCGAAATATGATGAGGGAAGATTTTATAAATGTAAACAAGATATAAGCAGATGGCAGCCATCAGGTTTTGGTATAAGATATAACAAGCACAATTCACTAAATAAACAACAAATAAATAGGCCACAGAAATGTACATCTTTTCTTCGATTTTGGAGACCTTTTTATATATTCAGTGATGTGGTCCGGTCATCACAAAAGCCTTGAATAATAAGAAGCCTAACAAGCTTGTCCTATTTCCACAGAAGTCTTTAGAGAGTGAAATAATGTTTATCTAATAAGGGCCATGATCTTGAATATTGGCGCTACTGTATCTCTTAACTTTAAAGACAGTTTTGGCACTGAAGTGAACACACTTGCATAACAAATCACAACAGCTTCATCATTTCTTCAGACAGCAACACCAAACAAAGCAAGAGTTATTTACAGTAAATTACATTCATCGCTTAAATACATGAGATCCATCAGATCGAGCTCTCCAAAAGGATCATTTTAAGACATGCAGGTGTCCTAAAAACATCCAGATAAACTTTAATACTTAACGTTGATCTCTTGTAGTTTCTGACAGGTAGTCTTTGACTTTCTTCAAAGGACAAATTTCATGTAACATTTTTTCAGATGCTGGTCTGAAGGTTTCCATTGAGCAACGCAGCGTTTTGCGTTTCCGTCATGACGTCGTTGACCATTCGAGTCCTGTCCTGTCGACTATCGCTTCGGTCGATCTCATCCAAGCCACCGACTCTTTTCAGACACAAGACGTTTTGGAAACTCTTCTTGAAGTTGTCCGACAAGAAGGCGTAGAGGATTGGGTTGGCGCAGCTGTTGGCGTAACCCAACACCACCACGAAGTCAAACGTGCTTTTCAGCACAGGTGTTGTGGGAACGGTTCCGGTCACTGAGGTCACGTTGAATACGTAAAAAGGTAACCAGCAGAGCACGAACACGACCACTACGATAGAAACCATACGGGTGACTTTCCGCTCTGAACGCTTTCTTTTGGTGGAGCCGACCCGCATGCCAGAGGACTTCACCTTTATGACGATTAGCAGGTAGCACATGGAGATGACGATCAGCGGTAAGAAAAAGCCCAAGAAAAAGGTGTAGAAGATAAACGCGGTGTAGTAGGTGTTCTGTGGCTCCGGCCACAACATGGTACACGTCCGAGCCTCGTTTCTTTTCAAGTTCACTCCGCTGTAGATCATAATTGGTAGGTTGACCAAGAGAGACACGCTCCACATGGCCAGACTGATGGTTTTGGCCATGCGTGGCTTTCGCCATTTGGTGGATTTGATCGGATGCACCACGGCCAGGTAGCGATCAAAGCTCATGACGGTTAGAAAGAAGATGCTGGTGAACTGGTTCATGGAGTCTGCGGTTAGGACGACGCGGCAGATCGCGGATCCAAAGGGCCAGTGGAGAAGCAAGAGCTGAATCGCAATGAAAGGTAGACTTAGCATGCAAAGGACATCCGCCACTGCCAGGTTTAAAATGTATATATTCGTGACAGTCTTCATCTTGGCGTAACGCAGGATGACGTAAATGACCAGCGTGTTCCCGCACAGTCCCACCGCACAGACTACAAAGTACACAAATGTGATGACGACTGAACTTGTTTGGTCAAAGCCATGGTTGGTGCTATTGTGAGGGTAAATCTCCAGGCCAAAGTCAGACTCGTTCCCTGGGAAGAAGCTATTATTCACCAAGCGGTCAGGGAGGGATAGGTTGGAGTTGGGCATAAACGTCCATGTGTCCATTTTGGCAGTGTTTATTATTCACCGGGAAAAGGCTTATGAAGATTGAACCCACAGTTTAATACGAAACCTATGGGCATTTAAGAAAAAAAAGGAAGGAAATATGAGTTAACATCCAATCTGGAAATTGCGATAACTACTGTACATACATATGCCTTATTTGTCTCGAATCAAAGTAATCTAATCTAAGGGATGTTGCACGTGAGTGTAATTTTTTACACATAACTGAAGACTTTTGGAAGTTTTAATGGAAGTATTTGGAAGTATTAATGTAGCCCTGATTTCCATGTTAAACTCTTAAAAATAGTTTCCAAAAGGGGGAGATGCCATAGAAAAACCATTTTTGGTTCCCCAAAGAATTTTTTAGTGCACAGTTCTTAAAATATATAATTTTTCATATATACTGTGAATAATTTTAAAGGTTCTTCATGGAACCAGATGGCAAGAGAGTTCAACAGTTGGGTTTCGGAAGTAAAAACTCCATTCATTTTTCTCCATATGGAAATTGATTTTGAATGATAACTTCTAAACCTTTAGAGATAGCCCTGCTGTGAGCTAAGAGGTTGTTAATCCATGGCATTTCCATCTGTTTAAGCCGTCAGGCTGCGTTATTTCAGCTTATTTGTTTAATTATAATATTTAACAGTCGAATTCCTAGTGAAAAACTACATGATGCTGTACAGAAAATTACACCGATCAGTGAGTCACAAAAAAACTGAAGTTTAGGAATCCCACAACTCATGAGTGAGCAAGACCCATGGATGGAGCAACCACGAATCTCAAAAAATAATTGCAATATGGGGTATATCACCACAGAGGTGAATTCTGATGAGCATATTGCGAGAGACTGGATTTATATCCGTTCTGCTTAAATAAAAGCATTATTCAAGTAAAAAAGGGAAAGCGGGTCACATGCATGCAGCTAGAGAATCAATAGCTACTGCTCAGGTCTGATCTGCAACTTTGGATAAACAAGGACTTTACCTTGTCCGTCTGGTTTCTACAGCTCATTGACTTTTGCCCTAGCAAATATTGGTTTAATTGATCTTTACTGAGCAAACAGTAGGAATATTTGATATATAAGAGATAATCTAAAAAATTACGCGAACTTAATTTAGCTGTACAGCTCCTCCAAGGCTCGGATGAATGAATGAATATAAAAGTGAAGTAGGCTATACTGCAGTGTTCTAGATTGCAGAGATCCATCCAAATCGTCTCGGTCTCCATCATCCCACACAATATCACAACATCTTCAACTGAGAAAAATATCAGAAACCCAACCTAAATCAAATCATATAACTAATTTTCCTATTCAAAACCTCAATGATGGATCAGTCTAAACAGCCCATATTAAATAGACAATTAATTATGCTTACCGACTCTGCCTCTATAAGCGTAAGGCTACTGTGATTTCAGTACACGACATGTCTAAATAAATTGTGTAAAATATAGGCTATTTATAATGGAATATTATAGCAAGTGGGAAAAAATCATTATTTTGACATTAGCTAAAACAGACATCTACGACTGATCGAACTATTTTACATAAACACGTCTTTTACCAAATAATGTGTAGCCTAATTATCTGTAATTCTCCTCATTTTTTAAGTCACTTTGGTTAAAAACGTCTGCTAAAATGATTCAAATGTAATGTAAATATAAAAAATACTTTCTTTTTCTCAAATAAAATGTTAAACCGTCAACAAACGTGAATTGGTATGCTGTTAAAAAAAAAAAAAAGACCATTTTAAACTATCTGATTATTACATTTTTGCCTGTATAGTTACCTGTAGTTATGGGACACCTTTTGAGATCCATTCCTGGAATATGAACAGCTTCACATGTTTCAATTTGCCACCATAATATTACCGCAAAACTGTACGAACAAGCGCGAAATCCAGCAAAGAATAACCGTCACTCGCACTTGACACCTCCTGATAAACCCGCGCGTGTCCGTTTGTGAGTCAGGACAACGACAGTTCTCCTCAGATAACAAATGACCGTTATTTCAGTAGAAAATACACTAAAACATAAGTTTAGTAGCGAATGACGCTCTTGAACTCAATAAACTTAACATTTAAGTCATGAAAACTAAATTTCGAGGGTCAACAGTCGAATTCCTTTGGTATTTCTTAGTCTGAGCGGAACGATGTGAGTCAGGTCCTCGCGCGCGTGCGTGCGTGCGTGTGTGTGTTGCTGGAGCGCGAGCACGAGTGTGAGTGCAGATGGAGCTACTGATCCGTCGAGCGCGCGCTTCCTTCATATATCCTGCGCAGATACATTAATCTAAACGACATGAAAGGCTATATTCAGTTGTTTTTGCTGTGTGGTCTTGATAAGGAAGGATACGGGAATATGTCAGGGGTCAAAATAATAATTTATGAATCCCCCCCAAAAAAGATGTTTAAAATTAGATTAGATTGAAATAAATGCATGTGGGAATTAGAGACCTTAAATGAGTCATATCGTGAGAAATCAAATGTTCCCTCAATTCTTTGAGATAAAAGAATTTGATGGTAAATGGTTGTGCACTTAAAACTTGCACCATTTTTTGAAACCAAGCTTTAAAAATGACACTATGAAAACTCTACAACTCGCAGAAAGCTTCTTTCATCTTAATGGCATCCTCGGCTGGCTTATAGGACCCTGTGGAAGGTTTTTTTTTATTTTTTTTTATTGAACAATATGTCATGTGCAGACAATGGCAACAAAAATGTATCTTTACAATTTGATAGGATCAGGTGCACAAGTGCATTACAGAAACAAAAAATAGGAAAAACTAAATAAATAAAATAAAGGGAGCTAGGTTTTACTTTTCAAGTTGTAGGACCCTGTGGAAGTGTGCAACCTGAAATCTGCCATCTTTGGCATGTGACAATTGCCTGTAGAATGCAGCAGAAGGGGTTAAACATAATCCAACCAAGTGCATGCGCACAAATATAATTCACACTTTTGAATCTGTTTCAAATAACTGCTGAAAAAAAAACAAATCTTGACTATATGACAATTGCAGGCATGCATATGTGGGCCTACAGATAAATTGCATGACAAATAATGAATTTTTAACAGAAATTTCTGAGATTGCTTATAGAGAGTGCTTAAACAGAACTGAAATGCTCAATCCGAAAAGAAGAGAAGTGAACACATGAGCCTTCACCTTGGACAGCACGTAGTTAAACTGAATATATGGGGTTAAAGGTCAATGGCTGATAAGTCACGAAAAGCCTTGATGAAAGGTAAACTGTGGCAATGAAAATAAACAGACGCAACTTGACAAAAAAAGGTTAAATAAATCAAAATGATAAATGGAAAAATAAATAACATCCATTAGCCTATTTTTGATGAGTGGTTGACATAGACAGCCATTTGTTTTCTAACCTTGTTATAAAGCTCTAAACAAATGGAAGAAAAAGACAAAAGTAGGCCTAATAGAAATGGGAAATTCTTGTCGGGATGGGGTATTATGCATTAGTTATGAGAAATCAAAGCATTTTTGTGTTCTTTATTATTGGGGACTTTTATGTCCCAGTTGCTGATTTTTATTAAAACATACTTTTTACAATGCCTTTATTTTTTTATACTTTTTTTATTTTCTTTTTGACATATTTGATTAAGCTAGCGCCAAAAACATAAATATATTACCCTAAAAATCAGTATAATCATAAAACATTTCAATATGTATATACAATATTTATGATTTTACACAAATAACAAACAACACTTTTATTCAAGACCATACAAATACATAATTTCTTGGCATAAGAGTTCATCAGTGTTGAACCAGTGAAGATCATGCTTGAAACAAATTATGAGATGAAATGTGTGAAAAATGTCACTTTTTGTGCATCATATTTTTATTGTGCATCATTTTTAAGCGATTGTCAAATTATTTCAAAACTGTGAACAGATTACTGAATTTCGTTTGTATTAAGGATACATAAAATGTTGTAATTTCCAAAGGACTGTCTAATTTTATTCCAACAAATGTTTAAAATGCCATTTTATGTTTAAAGTGGGGTGAAATATTGCATGGTGGAAATGTTCATGACAAAATTCTCCACAAATTAAATAAACCTTAGAGAGTGTAAAACGTTTTTTTAAGACAGCTTATTTTCGACAAAAATAACAGTGATCTAACTGTGTTAAACAGAACACGGGAATCTCCATAGAGTTCAATTTTGCTGAATATTTATTGATTTTATTATTATAATTTAAAGTCCCGTCATTTTTATCACTTAAAACTCCAAACTGACACCAAAATGACATATTTAAATGTTTTTTATTTGAAAAAAATTCTTCATGCCTTAAAATATCTTGAATGTAACTCGACACCCTTGCCTCATTTAGTAGTATACACAGTTATATTAATATTTTTTTGTATTTTAACACTTATTGTGGGCACTTGAACTGTTTGAATCATCAAAAATATAATGGACTTTGGACACTAACTCCAGTGAGTGATAATTCATGTAACATTTCCATAAACAGTTTCCATTACATCTGTTCTTATTTTTAAATACCTCTGTTTTTAAACAGATACATACATCTGTTCTTATTCTTTTAAGAAGTAGCCTCAAAGGTAAATGATTTTATATAGCTAATTTTGAATGTAATTCATTTTTAAAGTGATACACCCAAAAGTGAAACTTATCCCATCATTTACTCGCTCAAACCATAGTTGTACTATATGAGTTTCTTCTTTCAGACGAATACAATCAGAGTTTTATTAAAAATTATCCTGGCTTTTCCCAGCTTTATAATGGGAGTGAATGTACCTGAGATTTTGAAACCCAAAAAAGCGCATCCATCCATCATAACAGTACGCCTCCAGGGGTTAATAAAGGCCTTTGGAAGCATTTTTGAAAGAAAAATATCCATATTTATGACTAATCACTGGCTTCCAGTAGCGGCCGTAGGCGAGTCTAGTTCCGGTTGAAGAGTGACCTCTGACCCCACGCATGACCTCTGACCCGACGCACGACCTCTGACCCGACGCATTTTTGAGTGAACTAACAATTTAAACTAATCGCCCTTTAAGCCCCAACTGTCTTGAATTGAGCTGACCTCTTCATTATGCGCCTGATATGTTTGAAACCTATACATTATAGGCCTAGACATGTGACGCCCAAGGGTCAAATTAAAAGCTTTTGTCAGTTTATAGGCACAGTGATAACTACTGATAAAGAAGGAGTCTAAAAGGCTGTTTTCTAAGGCACAAAGCCAAAGCCGGGTCATCAGGGATATAAAAGAGACAGCTGAACTGGCGGACAGTTTTGTTGTTTAAAAATGGTCAAATGTAGTGTTAACTAGAGCAGTGGTTCCCAACCTTTTTTTGTCTGAGACCCCCTTTTCCCAAGAAAATATTTTAGGGCCCCCCTTCACATTTAATGATATTATCGCTCTTGTAAGCTTGCAGCAAGGATGACAAAATTTGTCGTTTTCAAACAAACGGTATGTTTACTGATATGTTTATGCACAAATAATAGCCTGTAATATTGAAAATACAATTAAAAAAACATCAGTAGGCCCCTTGTAATTTAAAAACGTAAGCCTAAGAGAAGCCTATATATTGGCCTTATTTTTGAAATGCAAAAAAACTAAAATATTCACAGTGGTGTATTGGTAAAAAAATGAAAGAAAATAGGCTATTACTAAATGACTGCTGTCTGGGGCCTCAATACTTGCAAGTTATTTGTGAGGCTTTATCAATGTGAGGCTTTATTTTTTAAGTTTTTAGCGCTATAGTGAGCGAAAATAAACTTGCGTTTATTAACAGAATAATGCGTCTTTCGGAAGAACATTGTAGCCGGAACTACTTCTCTCTGTGTACGTCTATGACGAGTCACGCAGGCACTGGGCTACTCCGCGGCGGCAGCGATCCGAACCAGTGTAAAATAGTCCCAATGTAAACACTTATTATAGGTGTACCATAGTGGTTCAGGATAAGACAAAAACACGGTTTGAAAAATGGATTCATGATGAACTCGCTCATTATATACATTTTGAACAGAAAAAAGTTAAGGACTTTTGTTTAATGCTCATTGCTCTTGTGGGGCGCGACCCTCCTGTTGGGAACCGATGAAATAGAGTTGCGCTGTCAGCTGGACGGATAATTGCAGTTTTTTTTATTTCTTTATTTTTTTATTTACTTGTTTACAGAATAAAATAACAAGACAAGCTATGAGACAAGACAAGCTATAGTTTTAGCTTTAAAAATAAACATTTACCCAATAATCATATTCACAAAACTGTGTGCATTTACCCTCAAAGACACATACAAAATATTCTGAGGTGTGATTCGTAAAATAATATCCATAGACCTTAAGCATAACTGTATACTGACCCAAAACTTAGCCACATATGGGCAAAAATAAAACAAATGCACCAAGTCCTCCTCCTCCTCCCCACAGAACCTGCAACAGGGATCCTTTATATCTGCCATTTGAATAAAGATTTTTTTGTTGCAATAATTTTAAATATTCTGGAATATGAATCAATTGTAGTTCTATAAATCGTTCTAAAGTAATCTTTCCACAAAATTGGATCATTAAATTCATCTTCCCAAAACCGGCAGATTCTGTGTGGAAAAAGTGATATTTAAATTACAAATATACATTATTTTATTTATCTTTACACCAGACAACCATTTTTGGCATCTTATTGGTGGGAGACAAACCATTGATTAATTCTTCTTACCATTTTGCAATTTTATTTTTCCAAGTTTTAGGAATTGCAGAAATCAGCTGGTTGAATTGATAACCGATCGATAATTGCAGGGTTAAAGCAAAAGGTTTCTGGACAAGAAAAACCCACAAAACCACACTGTAAACCCCAATGTTATCATTAATAAAGAAATCAAGTTATCATAACTTAACATTACTTACAATAGCAAGTTTTTGCATCAAAAATGAAACAGTTGTGTTTAATGTACTCATTTGGCAGCAACAGTCTTTCAGATTAAGATTTTAAGTGTTATGAACTCAAAATTTCAAGTTATTTAAATGATTCACTATGTGTCGGTTTAATATGATTGGCCGTGCCTGAAATTCTGCCTTGACAACACGCTGATTGGTCGATACACAAGGCAGTATTTTTTTTGTTCATCGTGAATTTGTTGATGCAGGCAGCAGGCCAGAGGGACTGACTGACACTGCATAAAACAGTCATTTAGGG